TCGGGATGTGCGCTCGCCCTTGTTCCGGACCTTTCATATTGAGCGGTATCCAATATGAATTCTAGTTATTTGCGCAAGCTTCTTGTGGAGCATCATAAATTAAGGCTTTGTAGCACAAATGCCATGCCACATTTACCGTGCCTGAGCCCCATCATTTCCAACGAGATCCTTTCATGAGTTCCCTGGTGAATGTCATAGCTGCGGCAGGACTATCCGGCGACCTTTCCAAAACTGCGCCATGCTAAACAGTTCCACCAGTCATAGCCTGCTGAGGGTGTCAAGAAAGATTCCGTGCATCGAGAGACAATGATGTCTAAGCTTCTCAGGTTGTGGGAGGACGACTGGAGTCACTTGCTGTTAGATTCGCAACACATTGCTTTGCGTAGGAGAGCTAGCTCCAGAACCGTGTAGCCTCGGAAACTTGGCTTGTCTGAGCAAGGCCCCCAAATTGCAGCCTACATAATCCTGGCCACACCTGCGATTGTACATATTGCACAAGCGTCCATCACAAAAATGTTCGACTTGCAACATTTTCTAGAAGCATTTACGGAGCAGGAACAGCAGCTAGCAATAGCTAGCAGCTAGCAGAGAAAATGTCTGACAAACGCGAGGCAAGGTTGTGGAATGCAAGCGCAGCTGCATCACGAGCTTCCACTCAGGTCTGCACATCTCAAGACTGCCACGGTTTCGGCCGGGAAATTCCACACAGTGGAGAGATCTGTTCTCCGTTGGGAGCATCTGCTTCCTGGTCCAGGCGAAATCATGGTTCAAAACTGCGTAGTACTACGCGTCCTGTTGCCAGCTTGCCACAAGCTGGAATGCCATCGATCTTCTAGGTCAATGACAGTGCCTGGGCCGGCACGACATCGATCGGACTACATAGCTGGGCTATCTGAGCTAAATCACCACCGATAACGGAATCTTGCAAGGCAAGATCCTCAAGAGACTTGACCGTCACCTGACATCAGCATTGCTTGCACACCGTGGACTAAACCTTGGCTTGGCCATAAGCCGTAAGTTCCGGGCCTCCAGACGCGAGTCCTCTGGAAGTATGATGTCACGCGCTTCGATGCGGTGGAAATCTGGAGTGTTTGTCTGCAGTTGAGCCATGTTCCGCATCGATATCGAATGCTCACGGCCGAGGCAAACATCAAGATATGGATCTGCTAGACCAGTACTCTTGTAGTGAATGCAAACTGCCTTCACAAAATACAAGCGAACACGTATCCTTGGTGGTACAGATTCAATATCTCGAAACTTCCTGAACATTGTGTCGTCAGCAAATGCGAAGTCGTCCAGGGCGGGGTCATGTCCAAAGCTCGTTTTCAGCTTTATGATGTCCTCGCCTTGCACCTCAGGCTTCTTCTCTGCCTTCGCAAGGATAACTTCGTCCAAAGCAAGGCCCTCTGCATCCTCTGCATCATCGTCGTCATTCTCATCGTCATCAACATCGTCACCCTCATCAACATCTTCCCCATCGGGCGATTCCCAGCCGTCAACAATCTTGAACGCGCACTTGATGAAACCAAAAACCCCCGCAGGCTCGAAGCTACAGGCGGCACGTTGAGCAGATTGAACCATGTCTTGGTTCTTGCTGAGACGCACAGATCTGTACCAAAACGATGCGTCGAACGGATGTGCATTTTCCAGATTTCCACTGACGGATTTACGTGAACCAGCTTCCTTGACTCTGGCGCCTTGGCGCGGAGAGAACGTGACCTCCTGCTGTACGTTCAAGCCACTGCAAGGTATGGCTGGAACTGGTCGCCGTGCTCCTGCTGTCTTGAGAGGTAATGGTACTCCAGCCGCATCCACAAATCCAGTTTCCTGGACCTCATCGCGCACCTCCACCTTGAGTCCACTGTAGAATTGCTTTCTCCACGCCTCAATTCCCTTCCTCAGATCCTCCAGGCTCTGCTGCTGAAACTTGTCCCGGGCCTCCAGTTGCTGCCTGGCTTCACGGACAAGTCTTGCTATCCGATCCTGTTGAGCTTCATATGGCTTAGACAGGCTGACGCCTTCCAACCAACAACATGGTCGCTTGTCCTGCAGGCTGATGAGCGCCTCGCCAATAGGGTATGACTCGTAACCAACAGAAGCTGCGATTGAGGACGGTGGCTCGTGGACGCGGATGACAAGATATGGCTCAAAAGCACCTTTCTCTGGTAGAAGGCACTGTAATTTGCCAGCTGTGCAGAAATCAAAGTTCATGGCCTCGTTGCTTAGCGCAGCCAACCTGGAGATCCAAGGCTTGAGCCGTTTGCTTCGCTCCAACGTGCCGGCAACATCTGCGAACTTGAACTCGAGGCGCTTGCTAGCATTACTGGCTGTAGCCTTCTCATGATGCTTCCCGGGTGTTGGGGATGCAGCTTTGGAGGCTGAGGCACCCAAAAAGGTGGCCACCTCAACTGTTACGACAGGGTGAGAAGCATGCACTGTGCCTGCCGCAGCACCCAAGGACTTCACACGTGGCAATGGCAAGATGTCCCGCAAGCCCAGCAAAGAAAAATGAACCGTGGCCCTTCGCAAACGACAAATATGATGCCTTTCATCAAATCTCTCCAAGGGTTGCGGCCACATGTCTCGAGGACCCAGAGATGGCTCGTGACGATGCTTGAAAAGCAGCAGCTCAAACGCCACCAGGATTTCGCCAACACATCTTGATCCCGTTTGATCTCCAAAAAGTTTAATCCATTGTGGAGTCAGGATATATGGCTCCCACTTTCCAGCATCGTCTTTGCGGCGCATGTGAGAGTAGACACATACGGCCTTCCCTAGATCCTGATTTGTCACTTGGCCTTCCTGCCAGAGTTGAACCGAGATAGGTTCAGTAGCTGGCGGTTCACGTGTGGAGTCTGAGCAGAGAAGAATCTTCAGCTCGGTAGGCTGCATCCACAGTGGCCGTGGGCCAATTACGGCCTCTGTTCGTCTCGACATCCCCGTGCAGCTGATGGTAAGCCCAAATTTGCCAGCTTCAGTATCGTGGCGAATGGAGGAATGCTGAATCTGCCGTGCCGTGAAGCAGTAAGCTCGCAAGAGATACACCATCGGCTTGACTTGTTTCCTCAGACTCCTGGAGTCAGCGTTCTGAAACGTGGAACGCAGAGCGATCAATACGGAAGCAGAGGAGCCAGGGTCGCTGTTCAACAGCGGGAGCAGCGGAATCGACGTCGGCTTTACTGCATCTTGAGGGCTTCCTCTGTAAAAATCTGCAATTCGACAGTTTGCAAACGCGACTCGCCTGGAACCGTGCAAGTAACCTGATGTGTAGAGGCTGATGGTCACCGATGGCTGCGAGTCTTCGGCTTCCTGACCACATGTGTCAATACAGGGGCACAGTGCCAAGGAAAAGCTGGACTGTGACAAAGGCACTGGACAAGCTGATTGCCCACACTGCCGACAAAGGCCATCCAGCTGGTCTCCACGAAACTGCTAGAGAAACGACGCATGATGAGAAAAGAAGAGCATAGAGGATGTGTGCTGGGTATCATCTATGTGAGCCTACAAGCTGTCAGGCAATCTGATGGTGTCTTGTCCACTTCAACCCAACATAGTTTTCCCTATTCTGTTCATGGCAAAAACAAATAGAACTGAAGTTGTTTCTGACCTTGCTCTACACTCCCTACCCTTCCGATGTGGCAGCTGAGAAGTACCTAAGCACACCCCAAAGCCCATCAGGATGCCTCACACAACACAACACGTCCAAATCTCAAGATACTAGCCGATAAACATCCTGGTGCAAGCAACACGGACAAATGGAGGACACTCTCGGTTTAGCCAAGCACCGCTGTCATGGCAACCAACGTCTCAACTCGGCCACACTTCTCGGAAAACGAAAATGTTTTGAAGCCCATGGCCTCTCCTGTCGGGCAGTCTTCGCACAGACCGATAGATCAAGAGTAAAAGGGCAGCAATGGTCCTTCCACAACCTCGTCTGCAAAGGCATCAGTCCCTGGCAAGGTAGAACAACAACAAGGGCAGCGCTCACTCGCAGCGCATTTGAACAGGCGATACTCAGACCGGTCAACTAACCCCATAGCTGGCAAGGAATCTGACCGATGCCAATGTTACCATCTAAATGAACATCCAGCCTTCAGATGGATCGTCCATGGGAGCAGCATCATAAGAGACCTAGGATCCGCATCTGTAGCATATGCTGATCTGACAGCCCTCCAAAATCCAAGCATGGCATAGTGGAACCGCAGCAAGGTATCAGAGTGCAACCGCGAAGCCCACTTTGTGGAGCCTCTCACGCCGCCAAAGCTTACCTCAACCTTGTGGCACGGGCTCCGAGCATGATACGCATCTGATTTGTCAGCCACCGCTTCCCCCCCAGCACAACTGTAACACCAGCTGTCCCACCTGGCACTGACGAGCATCGGCCCCAGTCACCTGCAGCAAAATGTCAACTCATCTCGCAGCCAGTGACCTGTACATGTACCACTGATATGATATGTGTGATACCAGTAATACCTGCGGTTCCCAAACCCACAGCCACTGACCCGGTGGGCCAGCATGCTGGAGCAGGCCCGAGCCAAGACAGTTTATCACACCCTCACCACTGGAGCGTCGCACCCTGAGGCCCTCCCTCCTAGCCTTCCCCTCCTCCCTGGCCGGAGATGTGGCCAGAGTCTGTACATGCGAAACTTTTGCACCATGATTTTCTGATGGCAGCCTGATGTAGCCCGCACTGATCCCGATTTCCACCACAGGCAGCCAAGGCAGGCAACCAGGGCCGATACTAGTGGTTAACTAAGCACTGCGATATCCTTAGCCTGCTCCTGCATGCCGGGCCAACATATGCCATCTTAACGTGCCAGAAACGCGGCTACCTCTACACGCAGGCCAAAGTAGTATAGTAAAGGGAAAGTTGTTTGGAACGCCCGGCAGCCATGTACACGTCCGCCATTATGGAGAGCTGTATCATAGCCGGCTCCAGCTCGAATCTTGCAGGCACCGATTTTGGCGGCTGCAGCTCCTGCCCAAAGCCATATCGGGCCACAAACGACCAACGTGGTTTCAGCGGCATCCTCGTCTGCATCCAGCGGCTCCACAGATCCCGAAACCAGCAAGCGCCCTTCGAGCACCAACATGCGCATGAATGAACAGTGAGCGGCAGATGCTCGGGCCTTTGAAAATGTGTGCTTCTGGCTCCTGAGTCGCGGTCTTTTTAAATGTGCCGTACCAGCAGAATTCTCATGCAGGAACTGTCCTTGTCGCCACCACTCGTCAGCTGTAGCTCCTTGGTGGCTACAGGTGGCTGAAGAGCACAAATGTTCAAACCTCAGGCATCTTACCGGCACGTCATTGATGAGACAGGAGTCTGCCAGCTCATCGGCATCCCAACCATACAAGTTGAACCTGATCAACGCTGCACTTGACAGGAATAAACAGGCCTACACTCAACAAGCTGGAGCATAGACACTAAAAGTTATTCAGTAGATCATGCATGGGTGCTTGACAAGATGCCAACGCGGTGGCAGGGCATGACTTCGCAGCTCACTGAACGACAGGAGGCCCTGGGCCAAAAGCTCCTGAGGTGCGCAGCGTGCTCTATGCGAATGGAAGGCTTGGCTGCTCTACGCTCATCAAAAAGAACAGAATGCTGTCACAACAAGACACGTCTGGGGAGAACCAGTTGCAACTCCAAAGCTTGAGGATGATTGTGTCCTCTCAGCTTTTCACATGTTTAGGCTCCTAGCACTGATTGCAAGTGCAAATAGGCCATGCAAGGTCTCCACTCCTCGTATACTGGGGTAACAACTGGAATTTGCAAGCACTCATTGAAGGTGTATTGTCGAACTTGCTTGCCTGGCCAATGCAGATGTACTTCCAGAATGTTCCAGACAGAGGGCTGCAAGATCTGAATTCCAACAGCACGCAAGAACTGACTGCGCAACCTGAACAATGCCACATTTGCGAGCTCACATGTCATTTACGAGTGGTGCTGCACGGCACCCGTACTCGTGCCAGTGGCATAAAGAAGCAAAACAGCCTAGAAGAGGTAAACAAGCCAGACCCCCCCGAATCTCCAGCCCTAAAAGCATTGACAATGAATCTGCACTGCTTCATGACAGCAAAACCAATTGAAGCCGCCTGTCGATGTCTTTACCAGGCTGCCAGAAAACTCCACAGTTATGTATGGGCTCGGCGCCTGTTCTCGTAAAGAAGTGAGACGTGTAAGAAAGCAACTTCAAAAAAGTCGCGTCTGAGGAATGAACGCCGCCGTTGTCTTGCAGCTCCTTCAGGTGATACAGATTAACCGCTATGCTGTCACACTCCAGTTGTAAGTCCAAATCGTTGTCGACTGGTACAAATCAGTAGCACTTCTTGGGCTGCTTTGCTGAAAACAGTCGCCGTAGCCAATGGTGGCTCCTCCACCCGAAAAATGTTCAATCTGACGTAGTGCGCACGTCCTGCATGCTCATATCGACTCTGTGCTTCAGATGCCTAAGGCTCATAGGACTCATATGCTATCCAACCTTGGCTCAAATCACTGGGTAAGTCAGTCCTGCTTGGGCATCAACTGATTGAGTCAAAACAGCACTTTCTAAGCCCTCATGATCGGCTTGGTTTGCCTCAAACAAATCTGCTTACAAAACATGCAGCAAGCGACATCCTCTGAGCCACCATGAAATTCTGCAAACAAGTCTGGGGTCACAACAACTGCCTCTTCACCAGCATCCACTTGCTCCGAGGTCTGTCAAGGTTTCTTGGGATGCAGCGCAAGAAGCCCATGAATTTTGGACAGAATGCATCTTAGCATCTCTTAGCCTGAAGAGACAAACTCGGCGCAAGTTCGAAAGGCTTCAGCACGAAGATTGTCACGTTGATCGTGCCAGACACAGCCGGACTGTCATGGCAGAGACGGCAAAGCAAGAAACACAAGTATGCTGCACCATGTACGATGCTTGCAGCGGAGCTGTTGGGTATGCACAAAAATTAAATGATGTGCCATGCCTGTCGTCCCTTCGCAGTGGGAGCCATCGTCTGGCATACCTTGCTATGACAACCTACACTCTACAGAACCACAACTTGAACAGTAAGTGATGAAGCTACAAAATTGTGAACCTGCCGAAGTAAGTATCTGTCATCCCAAACGCGCATGACCCATCACAAAACCATACGCAACCCTGACAAATGCTGACCCTTCTTTGCAACGGAAATCAAAATCCAAGGGCTTCCACTGAATCTGCTCGCCGGCCAAACCCTGGCCAACGGCCGAAAACGTCAAGATCTCCAGGGAACTGAATAGGATGGATGTTGCTAATGTCCAAACACAGATACTGAGAACGTGGCCCTTGTCCACAGTTGGCTTAGCAAGCGAACAATACCATCACTTCTCTGTCAACACTGAAAACTTCCTTGCCCAGACACAAATGGTGCTGGCGCTTGTTGACGAATGACAGCTGCAATGAAGCTTTTCCGATCAAATAGTTTCTTGTGAACCAGTTCCTGCCCAGAAAACATGCAGAACAAAGCATCAAAGGACAAGCCTTCCCCCGGTCAAAAATCTTCGCACGATCTTCACAAAAGCCTGGCATACACTTTGAACTCAATGAAAGAAGATTCGAACTCGTTGGGGTAGAGCCCGACTCTTGGCCATGTACAATGTTCATTCCTGGCAGCCAAGCAGGATGCCATCAACTGTAAGGATGCCGATGCAAACAAAACAACTCTTCCCATTACATCCGGCAAGATTCCAAGGAGCAAGGGAACTTCGACGCTCCAATGTCTCTGTTTGGTATGAATACCCACAGCATTCGACACAAACCTTGCTCGTCATTGATTACGTGAATAATTCGGCGACATGCTGCAATGCAACACACGAGCCATGCTGCCACGCGGCAAAAGGGTCACAAGGCGTTCCGTCTTGTGATTGCAAGCTTCTTCCTTCAAAAATTCGGAAACCTGCAAAAAGGCTGATTTGATCACTCCATAAACAAGAAAACCACGGCAAATCAAAATGACAGCGGCCTACGACGTAATCTTGCATGCAGCAGCAGTACCACCAGCACGCTCGATCCTATGTACAGAAATGCGCGCCCCAATCAACGTTTTAATTTGGATGATCATTTAATTGTGATGTGTACCATGAATCGCGAGCCTTCGTTCTCGTTTATCCAAATTGCACTTCACATCAACAACAAACTGATTCCAAATAACATGTAGGCTTGTAAAACAACCCAAAATACTGTTGTTCATCATGGAGCGCAGGGTTGGTTTACCAAATGATTCGGCGAAAACCTGGATGTTCATTCTTCAGAGCTTTGCACATCCAAATGTAAGTCTTGGGCCAAATTTGCGCACATGACAACAATCGACAACTTGACAAAAACAAAAAATCCTCAATTGCAGAGAATGATGATTATTTGCATCAAACCATGGCCACTGGCAGCAGCAATGCAACCACGTTTTCCCAGCGACTTTCTCGTTTCATGAGTTTTCTGCTGTCACATAAGGTTCCAGTTGCAAGGCCTTGGAAATAATTGAAAAATAGAAATACCGATGATAACGCGATGAACAATATCCTTTCTCCACAAAGTAACAGTGGTTTTTGTGTCTTACTGTGTCCCTCCTCTCTGTGGCTTCAAATCATGCTCGACAACATGTTTGTTCCCACGTGGCCACGGGAGCACAAACTTGACATGCCGCAAAACGGAACAAAACCCCAGCTTCCACGCCAAAAAACTTGGATTTTGCAGCTAGTTCTGCTTACCCGCCTAACACATCCACGGGTTAAACCCTTATTCTCTATAGAAAATACGGGGCACTCCATTCAAAATCAATGCTGACATCCAATTCATTAACCAAGCAATAATTCAATCAATCATGCAAGCACAAAATGTTTTGACATGGGGAATTCGCACTGCATCAAACGGGGCCCGGGCTAGGGCCCAAGGCCATGTTGCTATACATATATATAGTGTGCGGTAGCCGGTGAAATTGAGCACTTTCTCGCAGGTTACGTACCAGCAGGGATCACGTATTTCACAACAGTTTTGTATGCATGCAAATACATTCATTCAAAGAGCATATCATTCCATCAAACGAATTTGCACGATCATTATCAATCAAACTCATTCTCAAATATAGATAACAATCACTCACACAGCAACGCAAGCACTCATTGTTTTCCAGCCATTGGCTGAGCACGGGGTAGTCAAGTTTAGGAGGAACACCATGCAGGACACAGTCTGGCAAAGCCAACACACATTGTTCAACACGTGTTAGCAATCGCCGAACAGTCTCCGACTTCCCCCTTTTGTATTTGCATTAGCAGGGCAATCCAACGGATTACCCCAGTATGTTACGAACCTCAACATACTGCCAACAGGGAGGGAAGGTGGGAACAAAAAAAATCGGCAGCTGAGCCAAAGCGCTGCCTTGAATTAACAAGCTTCACATGCTGTTGTTTCGAGCTGGCTTCACCAAAGCAACAACAAGAACTCATGCTAAAATTGAACGCGTCAAAGCATGCAAACACACAAATTGAAAATCAATTTGTGGCAAAACTGTTTGTTGAAATAGGCCTATCCATCACGATGGAAGGTAATCTTATTTCACAGCAGATTTGTATGCATGCTAATACATTCGATCAAATAGCATATCATTCCATCAAACGAATTTGAATGGTCATTATCAATCAAATTGATTATCAAATACAAATTAAGGGACCGGAAAACCCCACATGTGTGGGTTAACCCGAATCTAAATGAGATTATATTGGGACACTGTCGCCCGCCGAAATACAAAAAAAAATCAAAGCGAAAGGGAGAAGAGTAAACTATCATTCCGAACGATGCGAAGAACCGACAACGCGAACGCAAAGAGAACAAAAAACAATTCATTTTGTGACACATGATCACCACCTCGCTCTCGACGTAGTCGTTCGTGTTAACCTGAGTCAAGTTTACTCACATGTCCGCTAGGATTGAAGCTCAGACAGCATGCAAAGCTTTTTGCGCGGCCCAGAACCAACATCAAATGTTCTGACCCCTCACCCAGCTCTGACCCCTCGACCCACGCTTAACATCAAACATTCTGACCCCTCGAGGGACCCAAGACTACATCAAACATGCTGACCCCCCGCAGGGCCTAAGCTTAACATCAAACATTTGCACCCATCGAGGGGCCCAGGCTTAACATCAAACATTTTGACCCCTCGACCCACGCTTAACATCAAACATTCTGACCCCTCGAACGGCCCAGGACCAATATCAAACATGCTGACCGGTCCAGGGGCCCATGCTTAACATCAAACATTTTTACCCCTCGAGGGGCCCAGGAATAACATCAAACATGTTGATCCCTGGAGGGGCCCAGGCTTAACATCAAACATTCAACCCCTCGATGGGCCCAAGCTTAACATCAAACATTTTCACCCATCGAGGGGCCCGGGCTTAACATCAAACATTTTGACCCCTCGACCCACGCTTAACATCAAACATTCTGACCCCTCGAACGGCCCAGGACCAATATCAAACATGCTGACCGGTCCAGGGGCCCATGCTTAACATCAAGCATTTTTACTGCTCGAGGGGCGCAGGCTTAACATCAAACATGTTGACCCACTTAGGGGCCGAGGCTGGACATGAAACATGTTGACCGAAATATTTTTGCTGCAGCATGAATGTGAGACTGAGCTGAGTGCGTATCTCCTGCAACCATTTAAGGGAGAAAACCCCAGCATGTAGGACGTCGTGGTAGGGTATCTCCACATCTAGTAAAGTTAGTACCCTGTGCAGTTCACATAGCGTGTACAGTTTTTAGTTTCGAAAGTTACTTGGTACACGTCGTTGTTTTGGTGAAAAAGGTAGCGCTGTTCGCTCGCTGCGCCGCCATATAGTTGTGTCGCCGATAAGAAGCTAACTTTGAAGATCCTGGAAATGTTAAAATTAAGGAAAGAATCCAACATGAATCCAAATATTTTGCAAGCCAGAATCCGAAAAGAAAGCAAAAACAAAAGGAATCAAAATGGGGAAAAAAGCCATCAATGAGCAATAAAAAAGAACAAGAAAAGCAAAAACAATGCAAACCTGTGGCCACATAGGAAATAAAAAAGAGAAAAAAAGGAAAACAAAACCGATAAAAAAGGAACATAAAAGGAAAACTTATGCAA